AACAAGCCCAGCTCCCTCAGCCTCTCCTCGTAGGAGAGATGCTCCAGTCCCCTCCTCATCCTCATAGCCCTCCGCTGGACTCTCTCCAGTAGCTCCTCATCTTTCTTGGACTTGGGCGAAGGCTGCTCACGCCACCCAAAGCAAGCACACCCCAGCGCTCGTCTAACCTGCAGCAGCAATCACCGAGCACGCTCTCCCCGCGAGGCTTGGCCATGAAGCTGCTGCCAGGATGGCTGACGGCACGGCCAGGGACACCGGCTTGCAGGGTATTCGGGACGCTCGGAGCAGAGAACAGATCACGCACACGCCAGTCTTCTCTGGGGATGGGACCGGGTTTCCTTTATCTGGTTAGATAACCCACCCACTCACCGAGACACGCACACCTCTCCAAGGCGGATTTGCTGCTTTGAGAAGAGAGTTAAGAGCCTAAGCCCCGCTCAGGTAAAACAGGGGTTGATGTCCATGCCCCCGCCCTCCGGGGCACCGCAGAACAAGCCAGCGTTATGCCAAGGGGCTTATAATGATGCTCTGTTACGTTCCAGGAATCTCTGCGTCAAGCTCCAGCAAATTCATTAATATCACCCACGTTAGCATTCAACTCGGCGCATCCTCAGCGACACGCTGAACGTCAGGAAGAGGTCTGCTTCCAGACCCGCACCCTCACAGAATCACAGAATCCCAGCATGGCAAGGGTTGGCAGGGACCTCTGTGGGTCACCCAGCCCAACCCCCTGCCCAAGCAGGGTCACCCACAGCAGGCTGCACAGCACCACATCCAGGTGGGTCTGGAATATCTCCAGAGAAGGAGACTCCACAGCCTCCCTGGGCAGCCTGGGCCAGGGCTCCGTCACCCTCAGAGGGAAGTTCTTCCTCGGGTTCAGCTGGAACTTCCTCTGCTTCAGTTTGTGCCCATTGCCTCTTGTCCTGTCACTGGGCACCACTGATCAGAGTCTCTCCATCATGAGCTGTCAGCCTGGCCCCTCGTTCACCCTCCCCAGGCAGGAACCCGCTTTCCTGGGCACTTTCCGAGCGGCACCAGGCAGAGGTCGCGGTCCCAGATGCTCACGGGCAGCACCAAAGCAAAAGCCCCAGTACCCCTGTCCGAGGCCCTAATGGGGAGCCACCAGTCTGCCCCAGTGCCACACTGGTGTGGGAAAACCCAGCTTGCACCATCTCAAACACAGGGATGGCATCTCTGCATGGCCCTCCAGCGAAGGGGTTCGCACGGGCACCAGGCAGAAAAACGGAAGAACGAGACTGTTTGGTCGGGTTACGCTTGTTCTGCTTCGTGCCAGCGTGAACTTCTCACCCACTGCCCGGCCTTGCCACATCCTGGCGATGGGTGAAGGGGCAGACGCTGCAACAAAACACCCGTAACGATATTGAGGGTCTACCCAGATATTTCTGGCCCAGAGAACAAACCCAAAGCGTGAGGTAAGCAGCAACTCGAGCACGACGTCTCCAGCCTGGAGCGTTTTCCAGAAGAACATGGGGAGGTGCAGGTGCCACCCACACACCACCCCAAAACTCTGATCGAACCTGGCAGATCTCACACCCCCAATTCCTCCCCGAGTCTCTTTCAGTCCAGAAGAGCTACTGCCGAGCCCCAACATGACCGCTTCGCACGGAGACGAAAGCAGATTCTTTT